CTTTTACTTTTGCTAGATTGTTTACATTTTTGTTATTAACGGCAGCTAAATCAGTGATCCGAGGTGGTATCTATCAATCGAGCGAACACAATGGAAATCCATCAGCGAATCGAGATGAAAAACAGAGTAGGTAGTCAGGATTTCCTTGAAGAATGTGATTTTTTTAAATACCTATATTTCAGCGGCCAACAGATCATAACAGGAAATGTTTTTTTGAGAGCAACAACAGAGAGTAGGTAAGTATATAGGTACGAATACTAGTTCAGCAGGTGTGTTTTAAAAAAATATTCATTCGTTAGGAAAGTTATTTTTGTGGTAGCCATAAAGTTCGTATAACTGTATGGTTGCTGTTGTAAAAACATAATGGTTTGGCATAATATTTTGTATACCTGTAATTATTTATTATGAACAGTTTATTGATCCGAATTCGTGGCGCCTGCGCCATCGTTTAACTGTATTTTAATTAAAATAACAAAAATAATGTCGATAAGTCAAATACTCGAATCCTTTTACTAAATCAAGTCAGTACTGAACATTTCTTTATTTTAAGGTCATTGTGGACGAATTAAAACCTCCGCCTTTTTTAAAAATAACCAATTTTATAAATTAAAAAACTCCACTGCCATATCAAAAAGTAAAAATATTCCGCATTACTGCGCGTACAAAAAAAACTTTTTTGACTTTCCAGTTAGTTTTTTCCATAGGCCATGGCAATAGCAAATATTTAATATACATTTTGTGTAGTCCTTTAAAAATAACTGTTTCTAGTATTTTGAAAAAACTTTCTTTTTTTTTTGTTTGTGTAGTGCAGGTGAACTCCAGGGAGGAACCTAGAAAGGCGAAGTTGCCTGGGTGAGACTCCAAAGCAAACAGGTTGAGGCGGCTTTACCTATGGTGCAGAGTGAGCGTTGTACACGGGCACAGCGGTCTCAGGGGGCCCGAGCGTCATAGCATAATAAGTGTATGTTGTGTTGTGACGCATCAGAGAACTATCGGTTTCATAAATTTAGTAGGGTTAGAGTGAGAACTCTGTCACATCGCGACCGATCGTAACACACAAGTATAGTTCGAACCATACTAAATGTATGAAACCGATAGCTCTCTGATGCACCAGAACATAACACGACACAGAAGTATATTTCTGCCTTCACTCGCGCCCATTACATTTTGACCACGCGCTTACTAGAGGGCGCCAGATTAATTATTGTACACAAGCCGTACAAAGGCAAAAGATGCCTGCGCAGACAGGATTCCAAACACATTGGCATCCCTAGGGTGAAGCTTACTGAGACGTCATTCGATTATTATAAGTACAGCTAGCGAACACGCAATGAAAGCAAAACTAACTTATTATGCTTCATAAATTTCCCTAGAAATTGCGTTAAAATAAATTTCACTAGTTTGCACTAGTCGTTTGCCCGCTTTGCCCTACTGGTAGGACCACGATATAACACTATGTACCTGTGGTTCTATTGCGCTAGGGCGATTAATATGGTATCGACAAAAAATAATGAACACCGACAAATTACTTTTAAACTCCAGAATTTTTATCAGTCACTTATTATTTGTTCTGTACAAGGAAATATTATTTCTATTTGACACTGTCAACAGTGTATTTTTCTAAGATTTTTCTTGAACTCGAGCAAAATGAACTAGAAAAAGTTAATTTTCATTTAAAGAAATAAAAGTGCGGGTACGATAGGTATTGTTACTATGAAAAAAAAAATTAATAATTGTATGGACATGCAGGCAGAAGCGAACATATAAAATTTACTAATTAATGTATTATTTACTTAATAAACTAATAATTGTATTATGACAATATCATTTCATTACTTACAACTAATTTAAATAATTGACATAGTTCAGACATTTATCGATACCATATTAATTGCCCTAGCGCGGTAGGACTACGGAAACATAGTGGAATACTGTGGTCCTACCGGTAGGAGAAACCGGTGGGACCATGGGCCCTTAATCGTGGCGGTTCGATAGTATTGGATATGTTTCATATAGTCGTAATTTTTAGTTTAATTATAAATGGTTTATTATTAAACACAATATGACACAAAAACTTTCTAATAAAAAAATAAAAACCGACACTTTAAATTTATTTTAGAGGAAAGAATTGTATTATTTCTTACTTTTAATGGGTTTTTTTTTAATGAAGTCTTTTGTTTTGTTAAAAATATTTTATTTTTCATCTTTTTATAAGCCGAAATAAAATCAACTAACTTAATATACTTCTAGTATGTACCTGGCCTGCATTTGTCTTCATAGCTCTTAAAATAACTAAACATTCATTGAGTACTGTTTGTAATTAAGGAGTTCCTTAGTTTTCTCCAGGGACCAAATCTCCAAAAACTGATTCCAACAATAAAAGAATCGTCAAAATCAGTCCACGCATATCAATAAAAATAAAAGTATACTGACAAATTGATAACCTCCTCCTTATTGAAGATGGTTAAAAAGCTTAGACATTATGTTGCTAAAATCATTTTTTTTATTAACAACTGTCATAATGAATCCTCACTTGCTGCTTGGTGTGTATAGGTAAGTACTGTATCGATTCGCCTCCTGCGGGAATATAAAGGATTTCATACCCAAATAAATTACAAAATAAATTCGTTTCGCTTCACTTTCGGCCTGCTGTCGTCTGTCTGAATTAATATTTAGTCTATGATTAGGGTAGTATTGCAATATTCAAACTCCTATTATTATTTCCCTATAATACACAAGGTATAAGAAAAACAACCAAACCAAAAAAAAGAAAGACATATTTTTCTGCAAATTTTATTTAAAAATAAATTATCGTACAACTTGCACCAATAACAACAAAATTTTGGTTTGAACAATTCGAAACCTCAACTTTCGCTCAAAGCATTATGGACCTATTTCTTATTGCATTACAGAATACAAAAAAAAATCTATACACGGGTGCGATATAGTTTAACCTAGGTTTTTTTCTTATTAATTGTATCATTTGCCATTTTTGCATTCTTAACAATTTAAAAAGAGATTCGTCCTCATTTTTCAAACTGAGGGTTTCATGTCGATACAAAATGCTCCTGCCAATCTCAGGCCAAGACATTCGTCCAGTAACTTCTGCCATAGATCAACACAATTACTCACACAAAGTTTGAAAAAAAAAACTGTAAAAAGTAAATAAATAGAATTCTACTTAAACAAAAACAGTTTGATACTTGCGCCTTACAAATTAAAAATGTCACACGTTGCGTAATCTACCATTCGAATTACAAAACACTAAAGGTAGAAGGCACGGCATAAGAATATATTTTCTCCTACTTATATCTAGGTAAATACTATTAGTATTTGCACCCAAATCACTCAAGTATATAAATTATACTATAGTAATCGGCACACTCGATACACTTATAAAGGTTGTTACCTTATTAATCACAATCTTTTCAACAATATAAAAAATTTGCATAATAAAACTTCACAAATTATTTGATTAAAAAATTACATCGCCTTGTCCTGTGTGAATAAAAAAATAATATTAAATGTTTTCAAATGATAAAAAGATTATAATTAATAAGAGACCCAATGACCAATATATAAATGTAGAGTTTAGTATAAACACATAATTTGTTATTAACGAAACAAATTACATTCATTTCACATTTTGATTCAATAGGTATTTAAATTTAATATTGCTGTTAGTTATTTAATTTTGTATTAAATACTAATGTTTGATTATGTTTTAAATTAGGCAATAAGGTTGGATAAGTGATATAAATATACTTCATATTAAATAAAGTAAAAAAATGTCGAATTTATATAAAATTATGGCTATAATATAATTTTATTGAACTACTATCCTCGGATACTTTACAAAATAACGGTCTAATCCTTAAACTTTGAATATATTTTAATATGTATTGACCATTGACCATTCATGATTTTCAGTGTGTGTGTTCTCTTTGTTTGTAGTTTTGAATCATAAACAGCTAGGAATATTTTAGATATTTTTAATCAAAATACATGGTCACGTCTGTATACCCGGAGGCTAGGTATACAAAATTGCTAAAAAATTTATTAATATTTCTATGAAGTAGTAAAACCTACTTTAAGTTATCAGTTTCAAATGCATTATTTAATTGACTGAGCAAGTGGCAATGTGTCTGTCTTATTGCAATTTCGAAAATTCCATTCCAATATGAAGCATTGTATGTAGCCTTTATACAATGCAAAGATTATTAGTTTAAAAAATCTACAAAAATTTTCTATAGTGTTTTTACTTTATGCTTGGTAAGCAATGCGTATATTCCTAATTTTTTTTTCGTTAAATTTTATTTAATTCTAATTGTTAAATCATTACTCGGTAAGATTTTCCTTGGATAATTGTCTATTGTGTTTATGGAGTTAGCAAGTTGTGCGTAATTATTACCACCTGATAGTATTTTTATTATTACTGGCAGATGACCACATTTGCCTTGGAAAACGGTCGCACCTCGCCCCAATCACAATTACAATGTTGCCGCAAACCAACTGTACAATAACCAATTTCAAACCAATTTTAACGGGCTGAAATGACTTATTTGAGAAAAAAATAACAATACATCAATTACATTTAATGCATTGAAACAAAATTCATATTGTTTTATTTTTAAAATATGTTAGGTTAAATGGTAAGAGCATAACAATTTTAAAACTAATTTCTTTTATTGTTGGTACTATATGATAAAATGATATCATTTTTGGATGTTATTCTAAGTAATGAGTATAATAAATTCATAGATAGACAACCATGACTTCGGAACAAGCATTTGTGTACAGTTCACACAAACACATGCCTTAACAGAATTTCAATCCAAGACCTTTTTGGTGATAAGTTCGGCTAACACCGTAATCCATTTTGGATCAAACGAATCTCATTTTACAAGAAATATGTCAAAAATCACTAATTAATCAGTGCATCAGTCACACAATAAAATTATTCTGATACTACGATTTTGAGTATTTAGTTAATTTTTAGGCGAAAATTGATAAATTTTACTTAGAGGAACTTGTTGTTTATATTCAATGTTAATTATTATGTCACTAAATGTAATGACAACAATTTGTCCATAAAAATTAATAACGAAATTATAGAAGGCAGTGTCGCAAAACGAACGAAAGTCGTGCCGTACTAAAATTTCGAATTCATAAAATACTGTCTGTTCAATTTAAACAAAACAGCATTGACATTCACAACTTTCTCTGTTTAATAGTCTGCTACGTGTTTAGTAGAAAAACTACTTGCCAATATTAATTTCAATATATGCTCTTAGGCGACTGTAACTTCCATATGTTGATGGACGAAAGTTTGGAGCATACATTTCGATCAATATGGAAATGCTACGACTTTATCTCAGGGCGTTAAACTTGATGTTATACTTGATGTTTGTACATGTCCTCTATTTGCGGTTTGAAGTAACTCCTGATTTCTGGCCGTTTCGCCTTCAAGGTGGGAGTGAGTAGTCCGTTTTGCACTGAGAACGGATCGGGGTGTAGGTAAACGTCTTTGACCTGAAATCGAAACAAAGTTGTTCAGTTATCATCATCGTCAGCCTATTAATGTCTTCACTGCTGGGGCATAGGTCTTCCCTATGGATGGAGTAGGAAGATTGGCCCATGACCCACAACGCAGCCCCAGTGCGGATTGGCAGGTGCTAACGACTGCAGATGCAGCCGGGACCGACCGAGATAGTAAATTTTTGGTCACCCATCCAATGACCGACCACTGCGGAAGTTGCTTAACTTCAAAGATCGCAGCCGAACGCACTAACCCCTTGCGACATCGAGCTCCTCAATAATAATTTAAAACACGGAAAGAAATAAAAACATTTAAAGTATTGAGAGTTCTCTAAAAAAGGCAGCTATATCAAACAATGTCTTCAAGCCAGCATGTTTATAAGGCGATTTTTTGACATTTTCTTCATAATGACAAAGAAAATATAAATCCGTAAGCTCTAGAGTTTCTCTCCAGAACTCTAAAAACTAACTCTTGAAACTGTTCCAAACTCGAACAACTCTAGTGGTGCAACGGCTGAATTATATATCCTATCAGTATAAATTACAAGGAAGCCTTGCATTTCTCAATTCCTTTATACTGACATTCTCAGGAGTTCTTGATAAAAACCTATTACAAAGATTTCGCTTACCTGTTCGAAGTTGTTCAAGCCAGCAGTCTTGGCCCTATGCAGCGTGTCGTTATGGACGACTAACCTTCTTGACGCGTATATACACGTAGGTATATCAACAATGGCTCTGTGTACCTGTTCAAAGGTCTTCAAGCCAGCAGTCTTGCCCAACTCTTACACTTTAGCAATATTAAGACTCACGAGGCGTTCTGTCAATAATATACTAACCTTTTGGGAGATCGGAATAAAAGAAGAACTAAACAATGAAATAAACTAGGTTTACCTGTTCGAAAGTCTTCAAGCCGGCAGTCTTGCCCCACTGCAGCATGTCGTCCATTATAACTTTCTTGACGCGTTCGTCCTCGCATAGTGAAGAGAATGTGCCTTTAATGCCGTTCTCTAGAGCCCAGCACTTCACCACGTCTACGTCGGGCACCACGATTGCTACTACGCATGACTGTGGAGGAAAATATATTGGGTTACTTAACTTATGTTTTGTAAACATTTACCTGCTAAATGTTTAAATGTAAAGAATATTTTACTAGAAAAATTCGACGCGGTCCATACAGCAGACGTGATGTCTGATTTCTTCTTTAGATTTTCTTTAGTTGAATTGGGTTAGTTTGGATTGAATTTTATTTAACTTTAGTGAATTTATCCAATTTGAGAGGTTTGTAATAATGCTTGTTTTAAGTCTAGCTAATCTAGTGACGAGAATTTGTGAAAATATAAAAAAAAACTACACATTCTATCTATAAGTCTTGTTGGAGAAAGACCTACAAGGAATTGTTAAGCCTGTTAAAGCTGTCTCTTCTCACGGAATATACAAAACCCCTTTCCTTCTCTTTTCACCTTTTGTATTTATTGTGTGAATTTTTCCATTAATAAGATAATAATTCATATAGCATATAAATTATAGATGGGCCGGGTACAGGTTTAACCGAATAACAGAGTACCGAGTTTTAATGATTTTTAAGCCGAGTACTCGGTCGAATAACTCGGTTCAATCTTGTTTTCGGTGCAAAAACTGATACAGGCCCGCGAGGCGCTACCTATTCTTTATATACTTGAGAAGTATCTATTAAAATTGTTATAGCATTTGCACTACAGTTTAAAAACTAAGAAAAACTCATTTCTTTTTGATAAACACACTTCGTTTTTTATTAAGTCGCCCAAAATATATAATACCTCAAGCTTAAATAGACTTGTTTATTCATCAATATCAATGATATTACATCTATGATACAGGTATATATGTCACAAGGCGCACAAGTTGTTGCAAACAAATTCAGACAATTATCGTTATTTGATTTAGTCGGCTAATAGCAGCGAGCGACACATAACGTGGCTACTATACTATCATTATTACGAAAACTCAATGTACTTAAGCTCATAATAACCTTCAGCGATTCTCCGTGCACGAAGACTTGTTCAACGTACTGACTTCTAATGTAGATATTTTCAATTTTTTCAGGAACTATGTATTCGCCTTGTGATAGTTTGAAGATGTGTTTTCTCCTGTCGATGATCTTGAGTGTGCCGTTCTGAAACAACATTTTTTTTTAATTTAAAGAATAAAATTAACTTTCGTATTATATTCGTAGTATTCCGTCATTGTTAACAAAACATTATGATGTCTGCCAGGTTTTATATTGAGGTAACCTTGTAGGCGCATTACCTATATTAACTTTCCGTTGGAACTTATAAATAACACTAGATAGCTCACCATGGTCATCTGTGGTCGAATAAGAATAGGCACGGGGAAAATAACATAATAAATATAAGAGCTTTACAACCGCCAAATCGCCGCAGACTTAGGATTACGAGTGGTATTCGTTAAATCAACAACAGCTTTTAGTTAAAATACAAAAGCACTGCGACAAGTTCTACAACAAATATTTTTTTTATACCCATCCATTCATATAAATATGGACACATGAAAATTAAAATACTGAAGTTAGGATCAAAGCACAACTTTCTTTTTTATGATTTCGGTTTTTATACAGGTTGGTCCAATTAGTGACGTCAACAAATTGTTTTTAGATTTCTCGCACCTGGGGGTATCTGAAAATACCCTATGTATGTTCCGCGATTTTTCTTAGTTTTCGAGTTATAATTTTTTGTGCATTTTTAATAATTTCTGCAAGCTAGGTTTCAAAAATTCATATCTTTTTTCGTAGTAGGTAATTTGCAGTCTTTTTTTGTGACATAATAGGGGTGATGACGGGGTACAGTAAACGAAATTCGATTAAATCCGTCAGTTAGATAATCAAAAAATAATGGACACGTATTTGTTCTTAAAAGTTATAGCGCGTCAATGTTTGGGAGTAGGGGCTCATGACGTCAGAAAATTGTACTTGTTTAATTGTAAAACGTGACGTCATGCGAATTTTCAAATCAATATATCTCTGCAATGTTTATATTATGTGAAAAAATAAAAAATACGTGTCCAATACTTTTTAATAATCTACCTGATAAACGAAGAAAAAAAATAGTCATCATTCCTATTGCCTTCAATGTTGTTTTAATAAAAAAAAATAACTCAGCTTTCTGAAATTACTTAAAGTTACTCAAAAAGCCTTGAAAGTTGGAACTTTAATTTTTAGTAGGATTTACTCAAACATTCAACTTCAATTTAAAAATACAAAATCAAAATCATTACAATGTGAGTTGAAGTAATTTCAGAAAGCTGAGTTATTTTTTTTATTAAAACAACATGCAAGACATTATTATGTCACAAAAAAAATACTGCAAAATACCTACTACGAAAAAAGATATGAAACCTCGCTGGCAGAAATCATTAAAAATACACAAAAAAAATTATATCTCGAAAACTAAGGAATATCGCGGAACACACATAGGGTATTTATAAACTTATTTCACACTAACTGATATTATCTTGAACTCTTTCGTGTTTTGGGCAGTACGCGAAGGTTTTGACAACCTCTGTGACTGCGTGGCATATCCTATGGGTATGTCCTGGCTGCATCTGCAGTCGTTAGCACCTACCCATCCGCACTGTCCCTGGCTGTATAGTGGATTATGGTGATGGCCCGATCTTCATATTCCATGGAACTGTAACACATTCACTGGCAGCCACTTACGCACGTCGCTGGTGTGGTGCCAGCTGTCCTGGTCAATGACCTCACGCGTCTTGTCCGGCTCCTTGAAGAAGCCCTTAAACACGTTGGCTCCCTGCAACACACCTCTCACTGAGAATTTTAACACTCACCGGCAGCCACTTGCCCACGTCGCCGGTATGGTGCCAGCCGTCCTGGTCGATGACCTCGTGCGTCTTGTCCGGCTCCTTGAAATAGCCCTTAAACACGTTGGCTCCCTGCACGCATACTTCGCCTTGCCCCTGCGCCGCGTAGTACTCCATCTCGGGCACATCCACTAACTGAAAACGTTAACAATTGTAAACTTTATTAATTTAAAATTTGCACGCTGTGCTCTGGATAATAAGCAGTAGAGTATCTAAGAGGGAGAAAATGTGGGGCTAAGTGGATTCCCTCAGAATTGAAATGCCCATCCGAGGAGAACCTCCACCTCCCATACATACAATGACCCCTTTGGTGGTGTTGTGATTCTATCGGTATTAACATACATTCCAAGGTTCTGCGGGGTGGGGAACTAGACTAGAGTACGGAATTTTGAAAGCAGACAAAGTTGCGAACATTAGGATACCCTACTAATAGCTTTAGTTTATTACTTGGATTGAGGCCAAGGATACGTAAAACTCCTGTGGGGTTTTGTAAAGTCTTGCGGACGTAGTCAATAATGGTACTATAATACACTTATAATGGCCCCATTAGCCACATTAAGACTGCCTTGCAAACAACGTTAATGATAAAAGTATGAATTTTCAAAAGTACTCACTTTCACTTTACAACAAGCGACGGGAGGCCCGACATGTTCAGGGACATGGTCGCCCTGAACGGTCAGAGTCACTGGCGCAGTGCATTCCGTCTGTCCGTAGCCTTCCACGATCTGGAAATAAACAAAACAGATATTCAAAACTACCAACTAAAACTAAACTAAAACAAAATATCTGTCAAATATTGTTTATATATATAAGGAACAACAGTGGGTAAAGAATCAAAAACTTTGGCGCCCCGCAATTTGTAGCTTGGGTGCTGCTTTCAAAATTTCCAATTCTTACAACCTGCCTTCTATTATTAAGGTAGGATTTGAACATTTGGAGCGCCATGTCGGTTATGCTAATTATTTCTAGTTTTTTTTAATAGCAACGAATGGTTTACCGTGTCAAAAATCAAAAAATCACCAGGAGTGTTTTTTGATTTTTGACGCCGCTCAGTTGTTTTTGATCTATATTGGTTCTGATTTTAGTGATTAAGTCAATAATAGCAATAATGGTGTTTGATTTTGGTCGAAAACCGTTTTGTTGGTTGGACAAAAAAATATTTCAGTTAAGTGGTCATTAAATATTTCAGTTAAGTGGTCATTAAGTCTTGTGTAAATAATAACAATACAATATTTTCGAAAGCAATAGCAACACCGACACCGAGCGGTAGTTTCCAGGATCTGACCTGGTACCAGATTTAAAGATTGGATTCATCTAAGGTATCTTTAAACTATCAGAAAATACTCCTTCCGCCAGTTACTTGTCGAGATAATCAGTAAGATTATGTAGTTTTGGATTTTTAACGCATTTAAGGGCTTTTATGCTAATGGGATCCATTTCTGTACTAGTGTTAGGGTCAAGACCGTCAATTATCCTGGAAACTTCATCTATGTTACATTGTTGCAATTCTGTCAGTTTATTTTGCACATTATCCCTATTTCGTTTTTGGAATGTGTAGGTATCGTTATTATGATAATTGGGTAGTATTTTATCAGTCAGTTTTATACCTTTGTCTGCGATAAAAAATTTGAACTCACAAACCTCTACTAGATCCTCAATGACTATACCGTAACTTATTAAAATTTTGGGGGAGCGCAAGTTATAAGTGGTTTGTTATTAAAAAGGGTGTTGATTAGCTTACACATCTCTTTAGGCTCATTAGCACAATTTTTAAATTCCAAAATAACATAATTATTATTTTGGAATTTAAAAATTGTGTGGAATGTAAAAAGACTAATGTCTTTGAGCTCTTGATAAGTTTTGCAGATTTTTCTTATTCATGATTATATTCTGCTTTCGGTTAACTATTCTCTGGATCCTGCTTCAACTTATTCCATGACATGGTTCGTTTGACCAATACCTGCCATGATTGGTTTATTAATCCATTCCTTTAGTGGCTGGTTGATTACTTTGTATTTTACCTCCTTATTTTCTGATATAATTTTCTTTGAAAAGTTCTAACGGTTCCAAATTGCACTCTTCATTTACAGGCACCTTCGGCTTTTTTGTAATAAATTTCATAGTTGATAGCTTTGTATCGCACCTTTTGCATTGAAGGTGGGTTTACCTTTATTCAAAATACAATGCTGAAGAAAAGTATTTTTTGACTTATGTTTTTTATACGGCAGTGAATAATACTTCTGCAGACGGGCGCTTCAAGACGATCACAAATAGTAATTGTGCTAGAGCACAATAAGACAACTAGAGCTTTCTTATCAGTTGATTTTCGCGAATAAAAAGGCAGAGATTGCATGTTTATTAGTATTATTATATATAGTTATATTTATTTAGTTGTGATTATTATTATATAGTTGTGGTTAGGGATATAGGATTAACAACGTCAAGCACTTATTATTTTTGCTACATCAGCTGTTTTTGGATCTTTCTATGTTTCATTAATGTCCGATTTATTGGTCAAAATTATTAAAAAACCGGCCAAGTGCGAGTCGGACTCGCGCACCGAGGGTTCCGTACAAACCTGCAAGGTTTACAAAGTTCGTTCATTACGACAATCGAGTCATAACTATGGTATTTTTATTGCAAAATGAAATTCATAACATTACAATGGGGAAAGATGGAGGAGCATAAATTTAAGACAAAGATCTCTTTATCGTTTAAGTAATCCTTTATTTTATATTAACACATATCATTTATCTATAATATAACTGAAACACTTATACTAGCCTTGCAGCAGACTTGCGAAAGTTCTTTTATTGAAGTTATTTATTTACTAAGTTTTTTAGTCACTATTTAGAAATCTGGTTCAAAAATATTAATTAAGTATTAAATTTGAACCAGACCTGTAAATGGTGACTGAAAAAGTTATGAATAGTACCACATTGAACATTGAAGTTCGAAAAAACGTTATCAATAGTTGTACAACTTCGTGTAGTGCTACTGTTTATTAACGGAAACATGTTTATGGATGAAAAATATGTGGAAATTCCATTTTGGGGATTCATTCTAAAATCTATATTCCCTTGCGAGTACTTGCGAGTTTCAAAATATGCAGCTTAAATTGCTGTTTCTTTTGATTGCGTTGACATAGAAGTTTGATTTTGTTACAGCTTAAAGGTATTATAGACCTGAGTATTTGGTATGAATTTCAATTTAATACCTCTACGCGTTTATGAGGAAATGGGTAGTAAGGTTAAAATTATTAAAAAAAAATATATTATGTGATGTAACTAAAAATTTATGGTTTTCGTAATTTTTCCTTTATCTATGCTATAAGACGTTGCTTGGTACCAAATTTCAAGATTCTGAGTTCACGGGAAGCACCCTGTAGGTTTTGATTCCCTTGCAAGTGTCGAAAATTTGCGGCATAAACGGCTGTATCTTTTGATTGCGTTGGCTTAGAAGTTTGATTTTTTCACAGCTTCAAGGGACAGTAGACCTGAGTAATTGATATAAATTTCAGCTTCATACCTCCACGCGTTCCTGAGAAAAAGGGTCTTGACAGACGGACGGACGGACGGACAGACGGACAACAAAGTGATCCTATAAGGGTTCCGTTTTTCCTTTTGAGGTACGGAACCCTAAAAATAATGAATATCTGACACTTATAAGGTTTTAGTGTCTGTCCTTTTTTATTATGTAAATTGCAAATTCGAAAATACATTTTCCAAATTAAAAAGTCATATAGTATTTAATATTCAATACAGTGTAATATTCCAATAGTCTGTTTCCAATCTAGAAAATCAAACGTCTAGCTTAAGCTAGAAAACAAATATTAAATTTTACAACCATCATGATTTCTAAAGGTGTATGAATAATCGTAGTCCATAATCCAGGAAATCATCTAAATAACTGTCGATCGAATGGCCTTCGCGTTGCCATTAGATATTATTGGAATTATCCGGGATATGGATGTTTGTTAAGAGCTTCCGTGAATGTTATTGAGTATCGAAGATAAACCTCTTCGTAAATAAACAAACCTATGAATTGATAATATTGATTCCCGTAGTTATATAATCATTTCAAATATTTTGCTAGAATATTATGTGCATATTTTGATCAGAATGTTATAAACTAATATTTTGTAATGCTGTATTTGCATTGATATATGGTACTATTAGATCACTAGCTACATAATACAATAGTAAATTTTAAACCACTCAAGACCTTGGTCGAATCTACTCGAGTTTTTAAAACACATTAAAATAGAACAAACACCACTCCTAACAATGGTTTATTATATGTAAAGTCGGTCTAGTGGTAGCAAAAACAAAATTTTGAACATCATATAAATCTGTCAGGAGTCAAGGTGAATTGCTAAATTGCTTGTACATATAACAAAAAAATATTCTTAAATTACCACTTATATCTGAGACAATAATATCAAGAAACATATGGGTGACACTGAACCTGACTGACAAGGAGACCTTTATAGTACTTAAGAAGATCTATTTGGAGAAATTTAAATTTAAATTATAAACATAAATTTTTAATGATGTCCGCCTTTCGCTGTAAAAAAAGAATAATCAGGATATTAAGCGAAATAAAGTAAAATTGTTGCGGCCTTCTTCTTTGAAAATAACAAAAGTCTTCCAAGTTTCACCTTACTTATTCTGTTCAGCACACTATTTTTAGTATAAGCGCTTGTATTTAACTTAATCGTTGTGAATTCATCGAATTCCGGAATGAATTGACTGCTTTTAATTATTCTGCTATAATATAATTAAAGTAGCATTTATACCTTTAAAACGCCAATGATATATCAATGCCTAGCTATTCAATAAAATGCACATCTATCAGTCGTAAGCCAGAGAGCGCCTCCATTCCGTTACCTCCTCCTTTACTCATTAATAAATACATAACTATGCGCCATATAGCCCTGCTGATTTGGCAAAGCATCAAAGGGCATCATGAACATACAAATAAACATCGTTATAAATATCACTGCCATAGCCACATCAACGATGCCACATGTGGCATTACTTGGAGTGGATCGAGTACATTACATTGTTGTTATTAAATGGACATAATAATTTATCCGTTCACAATAGCTGAGAAAATTATGTAAGAGATATTTTGAGAATCTCTTCATTTGAATTCAGTGGAGATATTAATAAACGACCAAGGACACTTGCACCAACATTCATTCTTAAATCAAAAATCTCAATCCTGTTTAGAACATGCGCCGTGGAGTCCACAAAGTACTATGATGCGGAGTCAATCATCTACCTCTTCACACACCTTTTGCAACACCAGCTTGTCTTGTTTAGCATGCCCGTGCACAAGTATATCAACCATAAACAATAGATCTACAGTTTCACCAGACAACCAGCGCGCAACTGGTGAAAGTGAAAACGTTTCCTTCATGCCACTCATGAAAGCTACACCAACTACCATGATTTGTTGGCACCCCGCCCACACATCCGCCATGATTTGGAGCCATGCACCTATTCCTTCGTACAGCTTGTGGAATATGAGCTTGTCTGGAATCGAGTTCCCGTTCTCCAGTACTTCAACCACAAGCAATAGATCTTAGCAGAAACCCGAGCGCGCATCTTACAAAAGTGAACATATTTTCAGCCAAGGGGGTTGGAAATCCACTGACCATAATGGCAAGCTACTGACTACCTATCCCTTTACAGATCTTGTTACTACTAACCTGTTCCGTATTGAGTTCCTGCACACAATTCAAAAAAATCACACCAGCTTGTTCCTTATCGAATTCTAGTTCACTAGTATTAATCACAAACAGTGTATCTACAGTGTTCTCATCAGATAACCGAGGGCACATCTCTCGAAAGTTACCCCAATTCATATAATGGAAGCCACCTAAGTATTCCTTCGCCCACCTTACTGAATACTAGCTTGTCCCGTTGTTCACTAGTATTAACCAAAAACAGTAGTTCTACACTGTTTTCAACAGACATCCGTGCGTGCATTTTTAAAAAGTCATCCCGTTTTTGACCAGTAGCGTTATAATATGTACTATGATGCGAAGCCGCCTTCGTGCACCTTTCCAAGCACCAGTTTATCCCATATCAAGTTCCTACTCTAAATACAACCACAAGAAAAAGAGGCACGGTGTTCTCACCAGACATCCGAGTGCACATCTCGCGAAGGTGAGCACGTTGCCGGCCAGCGGCGCAGAGCCCACCACCATGATGCGCAGGCGGCCACCCATCCCCTCACGCACCTTGCGGAACACCAGCTTGTCCCATATCGAGTCTCCGCGAACAATGCCCCTGTTGAGTAACAATAATTCTAAATGAGCGAGTTATTATCGAAAAAGGAATAACTAAGACTAAGTAGCAATGGTTCAGTGTCACATGTGTTTTTGGAGGTGATAACGTCTTATTAATCGATGAACACCGGCTGCAAACACGAAAAAGTGTGACGTCATGTCACGTTATATCACGAGTTAGTTCAACGTTCCGCGGTGTGTATGAAGTGAGGTCGAGGGGTTTGTTCGGCCCGCCCTGACCCCCGTGACCTCCCTGACCCCCCTTGACACTCATGACCGCCCCTAATCACCCTGACCCCCCTGACCCTCCCTGATGGCCCATCCTCCCTGCTACGCCCTAACTCTCTTGAAAGCTATGCCCTACTTCTCTTGTTTATGATGAGTTGGATTTTCCAGTATTTTTTTTAAAGTATGTTGAAATAAATTCAAGAATAATGAATTTTTTGTGTTCTGTTTCATATAGAACTCACCTTTTCAATTCCGATTCTTTCGCCGACAAAGCCATGTTGAACAGCAGCTTCTTTATTTTCGAGTTTGATATTTCGGATTGCGCTTTATCGTATAGCCTATTCAATAGTCTGGGCACGGCAGGCATCATTGTCGGTTTGAGTGCACTCAGATCATCGGCTAAACGGCGAATGTCACCACTATAGAAACCGACGGCACCTCCCATCATATAGAGAGCGTTCTGCAAGTAAATAAATATATAAATAACAAATATTTCCCACACTCACGTCGTGCATTATTAATAAGGACCGGCCATGATTAAGAATACCCAAGAGCGATGGCCAAAGTGATTAATTTATCACTTTGACCGGCCATTATTAATAATGCCCGACGGCCTGTGGTCCATGTAATAAAGTAAGTGTTTGAGATAGCTTGAATTTATCACTTGGGCCGGGCAGTATGAATACATAAAAAACGTTGGTACTATTGTCAAAATTACAGATGTCTCGCCATTTTGTGTTTGTTTGAGATCTTGGTAAATAAAAAATAGTATGGGCTCAACACTTAGAACAAAAGGCAAATGTGGCTTTACAACAATCTTTAATTCAGAACCGACTTGGTCAACCCCGACACGCCGTGGTAGAGGTCTACCCTACCCCTAGAGTGTCTTTAAGAGCCTAGAGGCGCGAAGGTAGAGCAGCCCCCGCCTGCTGTGACAAAGCCGCAAGCATCGTGCGACCCGTAGCGCCTGACTATATTAATCTTTACCAGGAACTGTATTTTTTCTTTAACAGTGTGCATCTTCAGAACTATACATTAGATAGTCCCATTTTTTAAAAACTGTTTAAGTACATACTATACCAATTAATTTATTAGAATTTCTGGGGTTTAACAATATTGATACTTGCGAGTTACTTTGAAATTAAAAAAAGGAAATTTTATTCTTCTAGGAATATTTCAAGAAAGAGAATTTTACGATAATAAATTGATATATTTTTGATTGGAAAAGATGATTAGATACTTTTTATCTAATGGCTCAATTACACTTGGTCGTTAGTCCGTATTCGGGTGCACGAAAAACATTACTCAAATTCGGGCACCTGAAGCAATATTTACACTGGAATACGGGCTGGAAGACGGCGTCGGGTGACCAAAACGAAAAGTACCCGAATATTACCGTTCATTATACTAAGTTGACTTAGACATTATTGGGGCCAACGAACAAGTGTTATTGCGCCATTATATAAAATATTATATTTTTATAAGTTCGGAAGCCAGTTAAAGAATATCTATACATATCATAAAATGGTAGGAAAGTCAAATCTGTACATTAAATATTTTTTTAAAAGAATACTTGGGGTGTGGTTTACAATCGATACCGAAGCCAAAAATATAGTTTTTAGAATTTTTGTCTGTATGTATGTCCGGGATAAACTCCAAAAGTACTGCATGGATTCACTAACACGAATATTATTAAGAAGTCGGGTCAACATATAGGCTACATGTTATCAGGCTATCACCTACGGAGAACGAACAGTGAACAGGGGTCAAAAAGTATATGCAAATAACTAACTCCACGAGTACGAAGTCGCGGGCGGCCGCTAGTTAAGGATAAAAAAGGAAAGAACAGAAACACACACCCAGTTGCCAGGTCCGATTTTTAAAAATCGGGAGGCGTTACAGGTAAACACAGTAGATGTATGGAAACAGCTACAAGTAAAACAGTAGATGTACTTTTTCCGGTTTGCACCCCCCCCCCCCCCCCTAGAAATGGTAAATCAAATCAAGAAATCAAGATAAAGATCAGTAACGAATGTGTTTCTGTTTCTTCTGCCGCCCTCAACATGCAATTTAAAAAAGAAAATCGTTTTCTAAAAAACAGGAGATTCATGTAGAAAAACAGTAGAACAGGAGAAATTTCAGAAAAACAGGAGATCTCCTGTAAAATCTGGAGACCTGGCAACACTGCACACACCTCACAGCACCGCTCCAGCATATGAGCTAATGGTAGGAAGGATATCATGACGTCAGTTTTAGCCGGTCGATGCTCGCCCAACTGCATTATCACGCTGCACATCGACACCACTACATTCTCGTGTGTTTACCCGAATTCCATTTGCACTCTTATTCGTGCTAATGACCAAGTGTTATCGTGCCGTAATATCAAATACTATATTTTTATAAGTTCGGAAGCCAGTTTAAGAATATTAAAGATAAAAAAGGAAAGAACAGAAACACACACCTCACAGCACCGCTCCAGCATATGAGCTAATGGCAGGAAGGATATCATGACGTCAGTTTTAGCCGGTCGATGCTCGCCCAACTGCATTATCACGCTGCACATCGACGCCACTACGTTCTCGTGTGTTAACATAACGCCTTTAGGCATGCCAGTTGTGCCTGACGTGTAGCATATTGTGCATAGACTGTCTGGTTTGGGCGCCTGTAACATTTTAATATTACATTATTAAAAAAATTGCAGTAGCTGTATCTTAGCTTGAAATAAATGACGATAAAAACACTAGTGATGTTATATTTAGAGCCGTTTCTACACTAATACAGTCACGGTATTCTTTATGACTTTACTATTATGTAAGTCACTAATTTATCAGTTTATTTAATTCTTGAATAAAATGCTATATGAAGAAAATTGTACTAGAAAAAAAATCCTCGCGGACCAGGCAGCAGACGGGACTCGAACCCGCACCTTCCGCTATCCGGGCGAATACACTGACCATTATGCTACCGCGGCCCTAATTGTACGTGTCGAATTTTCTATAGTGTTTCTAAGGCTGCAAGGCAGCGCCATCTCTTCGCATTGTAGGTAACCCAGAATGTCCCCTCTGCTGCGTGGTCCATATAGAATTTTTCTAGTACAATGTTCTTTAGATTTAAACATCTAGCAGTTAAATGCTTTAAAAATATAAAAATATAACATGCTTTATTCTAGGTGAATCAATACTTAGTCAAAATCCGCTGTACTTAAAATAAGACGAATAACAAAAACAATTTCAAAGTAGGTATCAGTAAATTATAACATCAGATGTATAAGTTTTATCTGGAGATTGAAAAATTAGCCCTAAGTGTAGTTAAATTCATCTCCAGACTGATAACCATTATTTCCCCTGAGGCATGCTGTTTAAAACATCCTCTGTTGAGCGTCGCGTCTTTCAAGTTGTCGTCATCATGTTTTATTTTTGCCCTTTAGATGCAAACCGACTGAGCGTTTCGCAGAACTGTTTGCCCTTCGGGTAGGTACTTTTCCTTGTGTGCAAAAACTAGATAGCGAAAGCCGAATGAAGTTTAAGGAAAGTTCAATAGGAGCTTCTTCATATATCATTAAAAGAAACCTCTTATTCACGATGTTTCGATTTCAATATTAGAATCCAGTAATGATTCCTGCTTTCTAGTGACAATCAAAAGAATCATACTTACAACACAAGGATAGTCTTTTTGTGCGCCTTGTATTTCAACGTCACTGAACTTGATAATCTCTACGCCACGACTCCTTGCTCTTTGATGTGTTGAAGGAGATACTTCTTTGATCGTTATCAGCTTCCTTAAGCAGCGAGGGGACTGATCTAATAGAAGGTTGGCTTTTTTGTCGTCTTCACATATAACCACTGCCATTTCAGCTACAAGAAAATCATTTAATTTAATAAAAAATATGCATTTGCCGAAACTGACAATTAAGCTTATCCATTTATCATTCATTGTCTGTCAGTTATCTGTCTTTCGTAAGACTACAAAAATTACTATCAATCAGTTTTATAAGGCCCAACATAATATCGCCAGCTTTATATATTATACTATTTTCGTAAATACTTTTATATATTACTTTTTTATACCTACTTTTAAACATTGCGTCATTAATAAGAAGCCATAAAAAGAACTTTACGGGGGAAATCTTGCAATTGAACCTGCTAAATATCATAAATAATATATATGATCTAGTGACAATAATTATTTTGCTTAAATGCAATGCAGATCTTTCATCATCGGACTATCCATTTAATGAAAAGATTAAAATTTCATCAAATGGCTTCAAATTCGATAAAGTTATAGAAAATAATCTTTACATATATTAAAATCCAAATAACATGCTTGATAACAATAAATACGTACTTTGATTAACAATGAAGGCACATGCGTTAGCTCCTAATGTATCGTACAAAGGTACTATGACCATAGAATAGCAGTAGGCGGCCTGCTCAGTCATGACCCATTCGGGACAATTTTGTGAATATATACCTGGAAAATAGAAAGGATTTTATATGTATACTAGCAATCCAGAATAACTTTCAAATATTATGATACAAATGACAACATAAACTATTTTTATAAATTATTTTCTTGCAATAGTATTATCTAATGAAGACTAATCTCTAACAAATTTACCATACCCACTACTATACTTACCCACAAATGTGTTTTGACCAGGTGTTAACCCTTGGCATATAAGACCGGAACCAAAGTTTTTCGCTCTGAGTAAAGTCTCATTATATGTTTGCCAAATATATGGCTTATTTGGTCCCTCTCGCCAACCCAAACAATTTCCATTATCTGAAAAGACAAATTAAATTCATTTAATAGTCGTGTCTTATTATCGCCAATGTAATCTCGTAAATAGATACAGCGGCAAAAGCAAGTTTAGCTGGACGGTGGAATATTCCACAGGATACTGTGTTGTATAATTTTCTGACTACTTTATTTTCATCAGCATGTTAAAAACAAGTAGAAAAACATGACCAACTGTCGCGACTACTCCAGTGGCACAAATTACTTTTAACTGTACCTCGTAAAGTTGATGTAAGTGACGTTAACAATATTTTATAATGACGGGTATTATTATCGACAACGAGCGGAAACGGAGGGAAATGACGTAGGCCTTAGAATTGCGCCTTGGAGCACTCCCTGCTTTATAATTGTATGTGAATAATACAGCCACGACTGCGGGCAATGAGATGCCAACAAAGGTGTAGTAGCAGCATAATAGACGAGGTTTGCCCGGAGACGAATACAGTAATAATACAGCAGCAACTCTGTTAAGGCTATAAAGTAAGATAACTTGCTTACTGGATTCTTTCACTCCTCGGCGAAAGGTTTCATAAAGGGTGCGGGTATCTTCATGAAGGAAACGCAGGTAACGCCCGTTCTTTGCTTCTTTGTAGAATTTGGATACGCGTACCATTTCTGGACCCTGAAATCAAAATAAATAAGATCATTGTCATAACAGAAAACAAAAAAAAAACACTGTATCGTTACTAAGTACTGAACATTTATTAAGGTCATTGCACTGAATCCTTGTAACATACCGCAGCCTAATCGGTAGTAATCTTATTAACATTACTCATGTTATTAGTATTAACGACTTTACTGCAAATGCTATCATGAATTCAGAGTATCTAAGCCTTTTCTGTACGTAGGTATATATTTGAAAAGGTCACTGTCACTATTACTTTGGTACATAACATAATACCTCTAAGAGTCTATGCAAATGTGAGCGTTAACCTAATGACATATTTGGCCCAGTAGTTTAAAATCTTGACTTAGAGTACTCTCCAACATTACGGTATATTATTATACTTCACACAATAATAAATGGGACATTGAACGGGTCAAAGTCACCAGTGAGAAAGACGAAAGCATGTAAGTTATAAATTAACGCAAACGACAGATATTATTATTTTATAATCATAAAACCCTGTAAACCCAGTAATGACTACTCATAGGTTTCGAAGATATTATAAATAATGATACTCAATCATTGCAATTTTATTAATATCTTTATCTCACAAAACTTGATACAAAGATCTTACAAACTACCTACCTTGTATTTTATTAACTTTTATAGCCCTCATCAATCATCTGTATCGTAAGCTTCGTATGAATACAATCTTAAAGATCACATTGGAAGTTAATTACTATAGAGTACACATTTGCGCATGTTTTACCTGCATTGAATATAGGTTAATAAAATTACGAAGAAGATTAAATAGCTAAATATTATCATGTCTTGCTTGACAAAACTATGTGAGATAGGGGATCTCAGATAGTTTTGTCTTGATCTTTTAACATAATACAAGATATATGTATTCACATTCACAACATACATCAAACTCTCAGAAATCATGTAATTAAAGATAAGTTTTTTTCTTATTTCGTGGCTGTCATTGAATAGAAAATCTGACTCTCATTCATCATGGAACTTGATCTTGAATTTTGTGAGCAAGGTCGAAAGGAAATTGATCACACGACGGGCGCAGAGTGAAAAATGTGGCAATTCAGTGTATTTATATCGAAACTGTGTGACATAGTGACGTTGTCACACTATTTGTGTACACAAGCGTACCCACACCGCTTAAAATATAAGAAACAAGGGTAATGATTCTATTTTCTACTCGAACGTAGAAATTTCTTTATTTCATTCAGAAAAACCTTTTACTACTTTCTCCAGTAACGATTACAATATTTATTGATTGGCTGTCTGAGTGTACCTTTTCCAACTCTATATAAGCATTTTGTTATACCATGTGATAATAAAGTATGTGTTTTTAATAACTTTTGTATAAAAGTGATTTATAAAATATTAAAGCAGGGAAACGCATTAAAGGGCGATATTAATGATGCAGTATTTCTTGGCGGGCAAAAATAAAGTGTCTCAGAAATAGTTGACATTGTAGCCACTCCTCGGTCGGCCAGCTGTGATTTCCGCATTTTCCGCTTTACGAGAAACATACGGTTCTCATCAACACTAATTACTTTACGTATATTACACATATGTTTTAACTTATTGAATATTTTTAATTTACTACCTCAGGAATACAAAAGAGGGAAAAAATATTTTAAACTGATTTCATTAAATATATAATACAGAGGCGTATTATTACAATTCTCGTAAGAAATCAATAATAACACGGCTTGAATTTACATAATGATACAGTATATTACTCCGTGTATTTAAATATATATTCCCAGAGACATTGACATACATCAATCAGCACGAGTTATTAGCGATTACGATATTGGCAGATGATCAAGAGTTGTCACGGGATCCTAACACCTTATAGCCATTCAACGATAGTTAGAAGTAGCAGCGTCAGACCTCATGGGTCATCGTATTTCGAGTCTTATATTGCTTTCTCTCTTATTTTTTGCATTTCAAACTAATTGACCATAGAGGTATTGTTTGTGTAGCTATCTAGCGAATGAACTCAATCCAGTATGTTTGATCAAATCAGATAATACAGGTATGTTAGGATTTAGTTATTATCTTTGTTCATTAAGGTGAAAAAATTATGCAAGCACATCTTAAATATGAGTTTTACATATCAATAGAACAATCCAATGTTTCCAGAAATAAATTGAGACGTTCAATTTGATGGAATTGTATTTATAAACAATATTGTTAACAGATGTTGGCATGTTTGTTTATCTACTGAAAAAAGTTTCGCAAATATCAAAACATCTTATCTTTATTATTTTTGTTATGATTTTGAACATTCAATAGGGCGTCTTTAGAATAAAGGACCAGTATACTGTTAAATTCTTTAGGACTTCCAGGCGATGCTTACTTATTTATTAAGACGTTTAAAATGACATTTTCTTGTCTTCATTTAAAATGATTTTTTTTAATCAGTTAACATACATTCTTCATTAAACAAGAGAAAATGATTATTTCCATGCTAGAAATTTACTTGATAATACTTGAGGAAACACAGAACACAGTTTATATTGTTTTAAACTTTCAAGGTCACTGACATTCTAGTTATACAATATATAACAGAGTCCAGCTATAAGTTATGTTACAAATGAAAATGCATTTTTTTAAATGTAGTAATGTAATTTTATTAAAATTTATACCTACATATTAATTAAAGCCTCAGCAAAAAATAAAAAAATATTATATTTGAAATGGCCACCTTTAGCTTTTATACAGGCTTTTAATCTGTTTGGCCATGAATCTATGGATTTACCCACTGTTTCCAAGGGAAATTTCGCCACTGCTTGCTCCAAAGATATTTTAAGAGACTCAATGTCGCCGTGTCGTTAAGAGCAGACCATGTCTTCTAAAACTGACAATGATTTGAAGTCTAAAGGGTTGAGGTCTGAGCTAGATGAGGGCCAGTCATCAAGCTCTTATATAAAGTTCGGAACGTAGGTTTCAATCCAGGCTTAGGTAGTTCGTGCCTTGTGACCAGGTGCAGAATCCTGCTGGATAGTCCACGGTATATTTTTAAAAAGTGTATTGCTGAGAGGTGGTTTCAAAACATGATCCAAGACTGTATCTTGATACACTTTGGCTGAAGTTTTCACTCCTTTGTCAAAAATTACTTTTGTGACTCCTTGATAAGACACGCCTCATCAAACCATCACTGACGCAGGATGATGACCACGATGTATATTTCCGACTACTAGAGCAGCTTTTTTAGAACTGTGAGCGTACACTTTATCATTTTGCTTATTTTAGTGTTCTTCAATCGAGAATAGTTTTTCATGGGTAAAGAGGATATTTCTGTACTTTTCACCTGCGTATCGCGACAGAAGGCGTTTTGATCGATCCACTGTCTATAATTGTAAAGATTATTTTAGTGCATGCCCTGTATATCGACGATAAGCGCCGAGCTTCAGGTCTTGTTTTATAATACGCGACAGAGTCCTAGCGGGAATCCTCATTTCCCTCGGTAAGATTTTTTACTTCCTAATGGGTTTTCGATGAATTCTGGCTTGAACAGCATTTACAGTCTTTGTAGTTATAACAGCACGCGGCCGCCCTGATCTTTTCTGGTCTTCGACAGACGAAGTATTGTTGTATCTGTTGATATTACGATATATGATACGGCTCGGCTGATACCAAGCTTTTGAAGTGTCTGGAATATGACAGTCGGTCACATTGCTCCATACCCACTTTGTGCAAAGCGATAACTGTAATCCATTTTCTTTAACACCCCATTCCATATTTTAATTTGATAATGAACACGAAAGCGTATTTGAAATGGGACACAAGCGAAAGCAGTTTTTAAAATAATATACGTGTTACAAATTCGAAATAATTAAAAAGTTGAAAAAAATAAAGGTTATGTAACAGTATTTATGGCCAGACTAGATATATATCGGAGGAGACTCATATAAAAAACAAAGTTCATGGAGGCAGTTCCTCGTAAATAACTAAGAATACAGTTTAATTAGTTTTTTCTAAGATTTACCTTTATAACTGAAGTACTTTCAGATTATCTCTTGAAATGTTGGAAATATATACCTCAAAAGAGGAAATACATTCTAGTTACTTTACAATGACAGTAGTGAATATGTAGGTAAGGTCAATAATTTTTGTGATAGCTCTGAATATTCAAATAGGTACGAGTTCGATTTGCATATGACTAAAAGATTTTCTTTTGTGCAATTGACATGACCTAATTATAATGTTTACTTTTACTCCAGGTCACAGAATAAATAATAGCACATATTTCCATCATGTACAGAATAAACAACATTATTTCATTGTGTTGAAAATACTACATATATTTTCATCTAATTCAGAAAAAGTCAATGTGTTTTAAAATCACCCTTTTAATCCTGAGTATAACCCACCACGTGGGCCCAGTTAGTGCAGTCATTGAAGCATTATTGCTCCGAATTTTTTTAACTGTGAACCAAATTGCATACAATTTTGGAATTAGGTTCATCTTACCCTTAACTTCAAAAGTGAAAATGATTTGAACTCCGCAACCACCCTGGGGGTGAAAATTTTTTTTTTTCAAAATAACCTCTGATATCGACAGAAGGCCTAATTTAAAGCAAAAAATCATCTATAAAGTTTTCCAAAAAATCCAATAATTTTCAAGTTATTGGCAATTGAGAATTCGCATAATTTTCACGTTTTTCATTTTTTTTATAAAGTATTCTAAGTGCAATATTAAGCTAGATATTAAAGATCAAACCCGTTTTTTTATTTTGTCTGAAATTTAATCGATGTGGTCAATGCCATCTAGCGGCGAGCAGATGCATTTCATGCATTCTAATACAAAAGGATTTTGTAGTGCTTGAAATAAGCTTTAAATCATTTTAATTTTAATCATTTTATAGTGCTCATGCACTATTAAAAGTCTTTTGCACGTAAAATAAGTGAGCTGTATTCCAAATAAGAGGAGCATCTAATGTTTTTTCTTTTAAATCAATGGGTTTCATAAGTGCCATTTC